TTTGGATATTTAAATTAATGTATATTTTTGTTTTGTTTGTGTACATCAAATAGTTTTGCTTTGTTCATTTGTGACACGTAAGATGTAAATGGAGCCAATGCATTTTCGATTGTATGTGTTTTAGTTATATCATGTTAGATGCAAGTATGACTTTACAATTTTATTTATGCATGTAGTTTATAGGTGTCAAATTGACAAAGGTGGAATGTAATTGGTTAGGATTTTGTGTCAATTTGACTAGGCCAGAATTTCCAGAGTTTAGCAGTTGAGATGTGCTTAAACCATGGTGATGAAACCTAATACAAGCATAATTAACCCTATGATGGATGCCTTTGAGCAAGCAATCAGTTGAAGGGATGCTTCCTTGGGAATGTGGCCTACAACCAATATAATGGACACATCACAGGGATTCTCTCTTCTGCTGCGAATGTGGGACTCTATATTGTAACATAATAAACTTTTCTTTGTATATACATGTAGATGTTTCACTGGTTTCACTTCTCTAGGAAACCTGGCCTAAAACACCAGGTATTTCTTCTACAGTGACAGCTACATTTTTAATGGCATGCACTAAATCAGTGTCTTTGCAACAAGGAGAAAAATACTTTTAAAAAGGAGTCACCTCTGGTAAGTGCAAGCTGGCTTAAAATACACTGGCCTATTATTTCAAAACCAGTCAGGCACTGTAATGCCCAAGCATAAATCTATACAAAGCAATAACTCTAATAACTCTCACCTACTAAGGAATTTTGTTTTCTTTACATTGAGCTGTAATCCACACCGAAGGCTGTGCTCTTTGATCTTCATTAGTAAATATTTTAAGTCTCCTTTCAAGCAAGCAAGGTTGTATCATCCACATATCTCAGGTTGTTAATGAGTTTTCCTCCAATCCTGATGCCACATTTTCCTTCATAGAACCCAGTTTCTCAGATTATTTGTTCAGCATACAGGTTGAATAAGTATGATGAAAGAATACAACCTTGTCGCACACCTTTCTTAATTTTAAGACATTCAGTGTTCCCATGTTCTGTTCAAACAACTGCCTCTTTCTTGGTCCAGGTACAGATTCCTCATAAGAACAATTAAGTGTTCCAGAATACTCATACTTTGCAATATTGTCCATAGCTTGTCATGATCACACAATC